ATCCTAATTCTAATGTGCTTATGACTCCTAATTAAAATTGACCCAAATTTGACACCTTTGCCCTTGGCGACATAAAATAAGTTGAACTTGTCCTAATAATAACCTTGAAATGATACCCCCACTTCATGTAGGCATAATGTTTTGCTCTGATGCTGAAATTTCTATTATGACCCCTTACGAAAACGACAACGGAAACCTTGTAAGATGAAATTCGTTGGTTTCCTTGCTCAATCGTGGCCTAAAATGCCTCTAAAGCCCTGAATTTTGGACTTGAAATTTGTCATCTGAAGTCGGTCGGTCTGCATCAGTCTCCCTTAGTTAGAGAGAACTCACCCTCAATTTTTGATCATATGTGAACTTCTTTGGTGCTTTTGCATTTCTTCAGCTCCTCTGAAATCTTCGAATTCAATTACTCAAGCTTACCCTTCCACTGGGCCAAATACTGACTTGGGAACCACGACAAATAGTAATGGTCTGACTATCAAGAACTTTCTATATCTGATCACCAACCGCCTAATGTATCTATGCTTTCCACTTAACATCCTTTGTAGGGGTATAAATTGGTCAGGTCGGGTCTGAATCGGGTTGTAGACTTGGACCCGGACGTAGACCCGGGCAAGTTGAGGTCAATCAAATTGGGACCTGACTCCAGGTTAGAATATAAACAAACAAAAATATATACATGAGATATATATAATATATTTCATAGCAGTGATTCCAAACCCACCAATATGGGTTGTGAATCAATGGGAACCGACCCGGTTCCCTGTCGGAACCAGGAATCGGGCCGGTTCCAATAGAATCGTCTAGTTTTTTTAGGGAACTATTCGATTTTGTTAGGGAATCAGGCAGTCTGGGTTGTCTGGTTACCACGATGCATATTTTTTTATTATTTTTCTCTTTTTCTATTTTTTAAAATTTTTCTATTGATCGATTCTCACCAGGGAGAATCGGTTTGAGGCCTGATTCACCAGTTTGGACTGTTTTACATCACTAAATATTCTTATGTAGTATTGAAAATTTGAAATATATAGAATAATTTGATTAGGTCTTTGACGGACTCGGAGTCGACTTGACCCAACTTTGGGTACAAACTTTTGGACCTGGACTCAACCCAGACCCGAGTCAATTCTGGTCGACTCAACATGATTCCCAACCCTAATACTTTGCATCAATGGGCTCTCCATGATACTATAGATCAGAAATTCAAAAGATGAAGAGAGATCATATGCCGTATCTTCTAAAGCACATTACATGGGCCAATCTTCTTGTATTTGCACTTATGATATGTTCCACTAGGAAAAGGCTTTCGTCTGAGAGAGACCATCACGAAATCTCCTTCATGGACATCGTTGTTGGAAAACATTTTCTTGTACTTGTCATGGTTCTCGTGTATGAACTAATGCAATTGAGAATTTCCATAATGAAATCAAAGAACTGAAAGGTCACATTTGACAACCTGGAAAACTATGGGAGTCCCTTGTTTCGATGTGCTTGCAACTTTCCTTGTTTGCCAATGATGGAAAACTGTGGAAAAGCGTGGAAAAATGGGAGTCCTCTTTTCCCCACTTTTCTGTCCGCTTTTCTCCACACACACACACACACACACAGAGTAGAGCCTATGCCATTTCTACTCCTCTCTTTCCTCCAAAGGCCTATCTATTTCTCTTCCCCTAGGGCCTATTTCTCTAGTTCTCTCTACCCTGGGGCCTATTGCTATCTTTCTTTACTCTGGATCCTCTCTTTCTCCCAAAAGCCTATCTATTTCTCTCCCCTCTCCCCCCTCCCGCTC